CTTGGATGTGTGGGTGGTGCAATGAATAATGGCACAAAATTGTTAATCAGTGAGCCAAGTTTCAATTCCTGTTGGGTTCGTTATGTTCACTTATGTACATATACCCTTAGGTATGAATCCACACTGTTATAATATTCTTGCTTGCTTCCATTGTTTATAGCAATGCTTGGGAGGAAAGTTTATAGAGGATCTATCATTGATTATGATTTGCACAGTAATTTTAAGCCAAGTACGACATTCCCTAGGTTTGACAAACACCATATTCTCCGAATCTTACCCCTTGCAACCTTTCCTTTTCAAAAATCAAATCCCTCTTGAAAGGAACAAAATTTCAAGAAATCAAGGACATCCAAGAGAAAGTGATGAGGCAGCCACTTGCTATCCCAAAAAAGGAGTTCCAGGAATGCTTCTATCAATGGAAAAAAAACTGTGTGGCTTCAGAAGAGCACTGCTTCAAAGAAGACTAAATACCAAATTGATATGTGTTGTAGTTTTCTTTTCATAGAACCAGTCCCGATACTTATTCAGGTACATTTACAAATATGAACAAAGCAAACACTCATCTGAAAAAATTGAGCAAAGTTAAAAATTGATAGATTCACTAAAATCCTAAACTAACTTATCCCAGACTTGACTAATATTTGAAACAATTCAGAGGGTTAACATCTTCTAGCCAACATCTAAATGATGCCCTACATTGAGCTAAGTTAAAAATTGATAGACTCACTAAAAACCTAAAATAATCTAACTTATCCCAGACTCGGCTAATATTTGAAACAATTCAGAGGGTTAACATCCTCTAGCCAACATCTAAAAGTTGCTCTACATCAATGCCCTTTAGTTGATACAAGTGTGTAAATTTAAATAAAGTAGCTTTTGTGAAGGGTCTGTGATGTTATTGGACCTGAACTAGTATCTTGATTTCACTGCTGTAATGTGGCTTCCTTCTGTCTTTTGTATAAATATTTTTATCGCAATTGTTCTAATGAGCTTTTCTCCTTGGTATCTCATCCACATGAATTTAGACTTGGCTGACAACTAGGGCTCATTGTTTTACTGTTGAAATAGCTAAATTTATCCGTAAGTTTCATCCTAATATTTTCGTTTCTTGCACTTCTAGCATTTGGAACTCTCTTCCAGCTTCTTGCTTCTCGCTTCTCTGACACCTACAAGTTTCAAGAATTCAAATGCAATATCAATCGTCATCTGTCTTCCTCAATCTTGTTCTTTTATTGTCCTTTCTCTTTAATAATGATTTCTTTCAGATTCTTTCACTCTCAGTAACTCATTGCATCTTAGTGGCATTATCACCTTGCTTGGGGTGAAATGAAAATAAAGAAAATTAAGAATTAAAAAAAAAAAATTCTTTTTAACCACTCCTTACCACAATGTTAATATATTTTTCTTTCTTAGATTTTAACCAAGGTAAAATTAACCCTTATGGGGGTACATGAAGGAAAAGAAAGATAGGGAAAGAAAGCAAGCAAGTCAAGCAAGCCACTTGTGAAAATGTTCCTAACTCTTCCACACCCAATAAGCCCTTGCGTCTTGGTGGCTTTACTCCCTTACTTGGGGTGAACTTGATTAAAAAGTTAAAAAAATTATTTCTAAAGGTTCAAATATTTATTCCTTATCTGTTGTGTCGCATGTTCCATAGCTCATTAGGGTCAGAAGAACACTGTGTACTGCAGCCATAGCAACACTGGTGTGTCTAGAACATTGATAGCCTTTTCAGGTTGGTTTTGAATTCAGAATTTTCCTTCTCCTAACCTAGTTGCAACCCCCTCAGGGTAAGAGAGCTCAGCCTGCCCAGAACACACCTCACTAATTTCAATTTCTAACCCTAACCCTAACCCACACAGTGTATCTGTTATTAAATTGTCATAAAAAACTTGCTTAAGCATAGTTAAAATGAACTTTTAGATTTAGAATTATTTTTTAAAGTTTCTTTTGTTGACTCCTCGCCACCAACTATATTAATATATTTTCATTATTTACATTTTAATCAAGAAGGGCTTGGGAAAATGCAACCCACACTTCTCACCTGTGGAACTCACATCTGATTACTTGCTTCCCTTCAAACTGTGATCTTCAAAAATTTAATGTCAATTGTCATCTAATATTTTCATTAATCTTGTTCTTTTATTGTCCTTTCTTTTTAATAATGATTTGTTTTCCAGATTCTTACACTCTCAGTAAACTCCTTGTGTCTTAGTGGCATTATTGCCTTGCTTGGGGTGAAATGATTATTAAAAAAAAAAAATTAAAAACAGTAAGCAATATTGCCATTTTGACAATGTTTAGCTTTGTAACCACAAAAACAAATGGTTTATCAAAAGAACAGTTATTCCCTTGACACCACTATTATTGTGTACATTTTTCATCTCCTTGGTAATGTTTATCTACGAGATTATAAAATATATGAGCCAAGTACAATGCGATATTTATTACTTAGTTTTTGTAAAGATTTATTATTTACCATTTTATGAAGAAATAAATTTGAAAAGAAACCTTTTTCTTCAAAAATTTACAAAAAATTATAAAATTACCAAGAAGAAGAAGAGGAGGAGACACTCTCAACCTTAGTGAATTTCTGTGGTGAGAGCAAATGAAGGAAATGTCTGGAAAAGGCATTTTTTTAAAAAAATTTATAATTGCATTAATTGTTATGTGTTTATTTAAATTTTCTTCACAGACATTTTTATAAATTTATAAATAAAAAAATCTCTTTTGATTATTTATTTATTTATAAAATGGCAAACAATAAATATTTAATTATAGATAGTTCACATATTTTTATAATCTTGTAAATATAAAATTATTCTCAGGAAGAGGCAGCTGAAGTTCCTGGAACACATAAGGAGGAAAGAGGGCCTGGAGAATCTGATACTCACGGGTCAAACAGAGGGAAAGAGAGACAAGGGAAAACAATGCATGTCATACCTAGCGGTCTTAAGCAAGTTGATGACAGAACGTGGTCTGGGGGAGGAAGCAGAGGGAAGGAACTTGTTGAGAACCGCAAGGGATAGAGGGAGTTGAGAGCCATGATTGCCTACATCCTGAAAGGACATGGCACATAGAAAGAAATAATTAGTGTTTGACACCTTTGTTGCCAATTTTCAACAAAAAAGAACATGTATGTAATATAGCAGTAACTGTAAGTAGAGGCTTATGAAGGTTTATTTGACTAATTCATTCTTAGAAAATGTTTTTCTATTTTATTATAGTAGATGGTTACAAGCAAGAGGGGAGATTGGATGTGCTTATTTTATTACCAAAATGTATAAATCCACATTCATATGTTTGAATATTTTAATGAACACTTTTTAAAACCATAAAGCTTGCTGAGGAAGTAAAAAAATGTATGCAGTAATAGTGGTGTTGAGGTGTTCTTTTGACACAACATTTTTTCACGATATTTGTTTTGTTGAAATAACTTGTACATGGGCTACACAATTACCACAGCATTTGATACAGTTAACAAGTTAGAGTATTAAATTGCACATCAGCCCAAATGACAAAAAAGAAAATTCTGATAAACATGTAGCGATAATTAGATATTATCATTAATTTTAAAAAACGATTACAAATATTAGAAGCCTTAACCATAATATCCGAGCATGAATAAAATTCCAAAAGAACAAACATTAAATATATTTTAAATTATTATTAAATCAAATAAAATAATGCCCCACAAATAGTATGATATTTAAAACTAACAAATAACACAATAAATTTAAAACTAAATTTACTTTTTATTAAAATTCTAATCATCACTTTTTCAAACAACAAACATTGCCAAGGGACTCAAAAGTGTATATAGTAATGCCCTTAATACAATATTTATTCCTTTTGACACACTATTTTCTGTGGGCATGAAGTTTAAACATTGTAAACAGTTTTTAACAGTATATTTTGAAAATCTAACAATACAGGGTTATTCAAAAAGAAAGAAAATTTTGAAAATTTAATTAAAACAAATGTTAAGAGACAGAAGCACATTCAATACATTACTGGATAGGAAAAGTGTCAAAGTTTATTATTTTAAGGTTACACTTGCAAATAGCAACAGACAAAATTACTTTTTTTGTAGTATGGACATTTTAAGGGTTGACAAAAATTGTAACAATTTAAATAATAATAATAACTTTGGACCTTTTTTTATCTCGTAATGTGTTGAATGCGTTCCTGTCTTTTAGCATTTGTTTTTATAAAATTTTTGAAATCTGCTCTTTCTTTTTGAATAACCCTCTGTGTATTTATATATATATATATATATATATATATATATATATATATATATATATTAGGCAGCATATATTTTATAAATGAGGATCACATCATTCAATGGATTAACAGTATTTTAATGCATACATTATGTTCTACTAGCGAAGTGATTTCGCCATTAATCACATTAATATTGCGGATTGATTCTATGTATGATTATTTCTTTATACATATATATATATATATATATATATATATATATATATATATATATATAATTATAATTTTATCATATAGACAAAAACAGTTTACTCACTACAAAGATGCAACTTCATTTCGGTGCATTTCAATTGCACCCCAATTGGTGAGAACCAAAAACGGTTATTGTTGAAACTTGACTAATGCATGGAATAATAATGCAACACAAAATGTACTTAGAACAAAATGTATTGAAACAAAAAAGTGTACACAATATTTACATATAGTCTTTTGTATATTCCTGGTAAGACCGTTCCTGGAGAATGTGTTGACTGAGTCGCAGTCGGGCAGAGTCTCTGGTTGAATCTCTTGATTCCTCCTCTCTTCCCGGTACCAACCATATTTATATGGTCGGTACTCCACTATGCAAATTAGGTGGATCCTACCACAACAGTTATGAACAATTCTGCTTGTAAGCAAGCCGTATTTGCAATTCAGCTTTAGCTTGGTTTTTATAATAATCAAGTAAAAACATTCCCAATTACTACTATAACTATTGTTAGAATTTACCCCTC